TACCGCCCGAATTGCAAAATCGATCTACACAATGAATTCTAATACGAATTCCTGCTGAGCTTTAATTAAATTTGTTCTTCCGACCATCCTTTTAATTTTATCGATTCGCCCTTTTGTGATACAACTTCCTCGTCTAATATCCCATATGCAAGTTACTTCCAGCATTTGGTGAGGATATGAGATTTCTTGGAGGCAAAAAAGAAGAAACAATATATTTGCAGAAATGGGACCAACATTTCCTTCTTCCATAGGACTTTAAAACCCAATAAAAGAACCAGCATTTTAGCTCTCAATCACGCAAATTAAATTTCCATGCTGTATATAGAAATGAAGAGGAACAATGTCACAGATCTCTATTTTGCGGTTGAATGCTCTCGAGCCAAAAGTGCACAATAAAATTTCTGGCAAATGTTAGGCATTAGGGAAGGAGCTCGCGTGAAGGTTGAAAATGAGTTGAAAGAATTATTGGCATTAAAAGTTATGAAGCAATTTGTTAAAGACGTGTTTTTGTAGAAGGGAAAACTCTTTTGTTCTAATTTTAGCACAATCTCTGACTTTGACTGAAGCTTAGACATTATATGGCGGGTAGTATTTTTCACTCTTGTGTTTTCTGTGTGTCTTGGAATGGAAAAAGAGTTTTTTTTCGATTCGCCAATTGTAATAACTCATGTTGATGATTTTTTTTCCAACAACTACACTGACCTCGTCACTTCACCACCTCTCGACACTCTGGGAGCATATAAAGCATTTGTAATGGTGAAAAAATTCAACAGTTTTAAATGACCAACGAAATTCATTGAGAATTCTCTCGCCACCTAATGGAATTTCAACATGGATAAACAATGAGGCATCCTGGAAAATACGAGTGCGTGGAAGGTTTCATGCAAAACCTCGCTTCTCGACCCTGTGGGCGGATGATATCCTACCATCATCACTCACAGTAATATGCAATCGATCGTGCAAAGCTCGTCGCATTGTGTAAACAATGCGATGGCCACAATCATCAATCTAGCCCAGCGCAATTCAGTTCTCGCCGCTGATTCACGCTTCAATTGGACGTCCACCTAGGGTGTCAAGACATGAGAGATGTCTCTTGGATCGTTTGGAATGAATATCGACCCCCATTTTCATCTCCAGCCAACCGATTCGCAAGGGCGTCACTTTGATGTCGCAACAGCGAGGAGATGAATGAAAGTCAAAGGGTGGTCTAATCTCGTTTCTGCCATTCAAACTAAATTGATTTATGAGCGTCTCAACTTCTCGCTTCACTCGACATGCACTCACTTCATAAATTCCCAGTGCGACAATGCAGTGACGGTGAAATCACTGTCATTGCTGAATTAGCAGTGAGTAATTCGATTATTGCGCTGAGTGGTGATGAAAAATGAGCTCAATCATCCGATTGAAAAGAACAACTAAGGCGTATTTGAAATGATCATTCCAAGTGTTAGTCATACTGAAAAGCTTTGTTATACTAAATCTATCTAGCAAAGGTGCAGATATCGTGGAAAACTCCAAACAATAGAAGAGAAAAAAACAGTAATGCCGTCAGAGTTGAGAGCAGTATAGATAAATATTTAGGGTTCGGGAAGGGGTAAGAGTGTAAAAATTATATAAACTTTTTAAAAAATTCACGTGAATTCTTCAAAAATATATGTGAACTTTATATAAATTGATCTTACTTCAACAAACTTTAATCTACACAAGTAATTAATGACGTTGGTCACAACTCTGATGTGATGCTGCAAATTGATATTGTTTCACTACGAACACTTTCTGCATTTCAATTTGCGAATATTTTCTGAGCATCGTGTTGATTGGAGAAATGCATTTGTAGATCATCGAATACCTCCCACACCCTTTTCGCTATCAACCAGAAAGTCTTTGTCACTGAGCCATTGAGAAAATTGAGATGCTTACTTTGTATTGTTTGGCTTGTCTCATGAAATTCAACTCAGTGTTGGAGGATATTGGTCGATTTTTGGACATGGCAGACTGGTGGAATTTTATGCTTCATGACTCTTCACAACTCACCCATCCTTGGAAAATGTCTCACACCCATTGAGATCAAATTGGCGAAATTCCCACAAAATTGAACAAAACGGGGGCATTTCGCTGAAATTTTAGTGCTTCGGTAGCCGTAAATGGAAAGTGTGTGGAAACCATAAAATGGGACAGAAAGCACCGAAATTTATTTGAATGTTTTGAATTCAGCACTGTGAGTTCATCCACCCTCAAACTCCTCTCTTTCGCTTGATTGCTGGTCATTCTTCTTCATCAACGCGTTCATTGACAGATGCGAGGCTTGCGTATGATCAGAAAAAAGCGGAACATCTGCGGCGACAGTTCTGTCTTTAAACTTTAAATAAACACTGCGAGTTTCCTTTCCTCTGAAATATGTGTTAAATCCCATCGAATGGCGTTTCAACACAGCGTTCGCATATTTTATTTATTGATTACTAATTGAATTATCCTTGTCTGTATTTCACTGACGCATGTGATATATTTGAAATGAAAAATTTTTAATTAAACTTTTTGCTTTCCTGCGTTTTTAATCTACTGGGTGTATGAAATTTGCTATAAAAGTAGGAATATGAAGACCGCCTGCAACGAATCTTTGTCATAAATGTCAAGAAAATTTTCTCAATTTATGTTTTTGACTTGCTTTTTGATGATGTTCTATGGGCGCAGGTATGAGAATGAGTAAATTTAATGAGAACAACGCTTAGAAGAGAGCAAATAGCACAGGAAATAGAGCTTCACTGTGGTTTACCGAGAAGAATCTCTTCCATTTCTGCATTAAAATTTCCTTCTCGTCTGGCGAATGCTGCCAAATACTTTTATGATGACATTGCGAGTGACTCACTTGATAACATTTTATGTAAATGCCATGGTATTTGTAGAATACGCTGAACTTAATTTTACGACAAATTTCCACTGTCTTCAAATGTTGTCTCACTCGAAAGTATGTCACTCGCTCACACTAAAATTATCTCTCATTATAATTTTGCCAATTGCATAGACATTTTTTCTTCAGTGTTTGCGATAAACGTCATCTTGGGTGGACTTTGTACATGATCTCATCGTTTGAGAATCGCATAAACTTGAATTAACAAGGAAATAAGGAAACTTTATTGTTTGGTCGATCAGTTATATCATGCTTTACACCGCATTTTTCCGAGCAATATCGGTTTTTCTTTCAATTTCGCTTCATAATAAAATGTAATTAAATTTCTTAATTAATGAATATTTATTCAATTCTAATTTATTCACTACTTTGTTACTCTGACAATTGTTCGCTTTGTCTGATATCAAATCCACCGCAAACACTCTTGGCAAGTGTCTGCAAATTAATTTGGGTTTTCCCATATTTTCCAATTCTGCAAAGAGCACATTTATTTAACTTCAGTAAATCGTTGAGACTTTCCCCTAGACTTTCACTCAGTTTCTGCATTCTGACATGCTTTCCATTGATAAATTATTTATATATTAGAAGATAACATGTTGTGGATGAATTGAATTAAAGTAAATTAGCTAGGAAAATACCAAAGAGCGAATTTTCAAATGTCAAAAGCATCTTATCACTTTTTTGTGTGTCTCTTCTAAAGGAATATAATGCGGAAAGAATGGTGAATGACTGATGATATAGCCAATGTCAACACATTTATCGCTAAATTCTCTGTTATTTAATAAAAGATGTTTCACTTTTTCTAGCACGAGCATAAAATTTGATGGCGGAATTCGCAAGTTCTCTGAGACTATGAGAATGAGACCATTAAGTCTTATCAGTGCTCTCGAGCATAAATCTCCCTCATATTAAAACATCGCGTCTCTTCTCGCAAACTTCACACACAATTTATATCAATTACCAACTTGCCTTGCGTGAAGAAAGTGACGACGAGACTTTTCGTTTTTTCCCGGCTGGTAATTTTATCAATTCAAATTCATTTTGAGCCAATAAAAAAGTGTTATTGTTTGCTCTGGCTGCCAGTTCATTCCGCGTCTGATGGCAATGAGAAATAAACCAATTTCTATAAAAGTTACGACCACGTCGAAAGTTAGCATCAATCATGAGATTCCCTTGAGTCTGTGGTACGAAATCAATGTGCCGGAATGCAAATGGGAGCTGAATTTGGTGTCCAGATGTGTGGGAATGGGAGATGAAATAAACCTGCTTAAATATCAAAAGAAGTCGCAACAGAAAATTAAGATAATCAAAATATTGGCACATCTGTGAAATACATGAAATATCGTTGCGCAGAATAAAACTTTCAGAGTCTTCGCGACATGTCTTGAGACTGGCCATGACCTCGACGATGGGTAAAATATCTGTCGTGTATTTTATCGTGCTGATTAATTCAATTTGCTCTAAAGTTCTCCATATATTAAGCAGTGGAAATGCCATGACTTTTAGAGAGATTTCAGAGAGAATTTTGGCATCCGCAAATCTTATACGCTGTGCAGGAAAAATCTTTAGGGAATTGATATACGAAATCCACAGTTAAGTCTCGAGGGAACGCACATTCATTCATATTACTGACATATTTTGTGCCTCTACACCAAATTCCAATGTTGAAAATTGGGAGCTTTAGAACAACGGAGAAGATAATCCACTCTGGGAAATTGATAGTTGGTACATTGATGGTATAGTTAAAGTTTGGAGGAATTCCTTATTGAGTATAGAATCTTTCGGTTGCGTAAGAATTCCTTGTTTGAAACAAGATCCCACCAATGGCATGATTAGCCACTATTTCTCTCGTCGCGGAACATAGTTTATATAAATTCACAGCGATGGCATTTCAATGGTAGAGACATTAAATTTATTGATCAGCTTTTGTGGGAGTGTTCTGGAGTGATGGAAAAATCACAAAGTCGAGCATCCGAACGTGAAATCAATATTTCTCTGAGGAGATTTCTCCTGAGAGCAGAGAAAATCCTCTGTGTAATTTCACTTTTCGCGTAAATTTCTCAACAATTTTGCACATTCTGAGCACACACACCTGTTAAATTTTCAGTATCCCACGTTTTCCTCGGTGTTGTATCTTTCTCTGCTTTTTTTTAATGTTGTCTCAAGAACCGGAGACGTGAAGAAAAAATGTATTTGCTCTTTTTTGAAAGATAAAGTGATACTATTTGCCTTCTTTCGCACTGGCTCATATACACATCGAAAACACTTCTCGAATGGAAATGAAGAAGCTGCTTGTGTCCGTCAGAGATGTTTAAATTAAAAATACTAACTTCTATACACTATATTTATTCACAAGGCACTTGTAAAATTTTGCAAATTTATGCCGATCAAACACGCGCAACGTCACTCATGGGAGTTTGTAGGAAAATAATAAGTTGAGGCATGGATTTGTGTGACAAATTGTACGTCTAGCCGCAGACGATGCTCGTTGCTGACTGATTCGGCTCGGTGAGCTAAAATAATTTCATGCGCACGCTAAACTACCACTTCTTTGATAGTCTCGAAAGAGCGACAAAAATGTAGAAGAGTTGATGAAAAAAGAACAACTTCGCCGACCACAGTCACTTGCTTAATGCAGTGGGTAGCATATTTATTGAAACTATCGTAATTAGCAATGTCATTAAATACTTGTTTCATACCTCATTTGAATAAGTCATACAGTATCGCCACTCAAACAAGTCATATTGCGGGAAGTGAAATTGTCTCAGTGCTTGTCACTGTCTCTCAGCCACACTTATTCACATATCTGACACTGATTAACACTGAAATATCGCCAATATGTGTGTGCAAATAAAACTGATATCACTTTAGAAAGAATACAAAAATATCAGTTATGTACGCACTCGATATGCAGTGAATTGATTTGAAGAGCATTCTTTATCTCTGATTAATAATTTAATTGGAAACTGTGTGGGAAAATTTTCATTTCAACTTGACCTGCTTTGTGGAACTTTTAATGCCCGCACTATGGGTATTTTTATTAGGTTAAAACTTTTACGCAATGGCACGAAAAACATTTTCAACTGATGTACATTTTGCACATAATCTATTGTTTTTGTTTAATTTCATTAAAATTGAACATATTCCCAGCAAAGAGTTGTTATGCAGTCCTTTTGTTATCCGTTCATTTGTTATTATTAAGCATATTATTTTTAAATGTCATATGCGTATTTGAATATAATTAAAGACCGACTGTGAATATTAATTAATTAAAAGTGATAATGGAATTGGGTGCCCCTATCATTCTTCTGGCCACTGTAAACGTCTCCATTCGCTTGTGGAATGGGACGATCGTCAGCGAATATTTCAGTGAAATCAAACCCGTTGTGATGTCGTGGCCAAGAAAAGGGCATCAAGCCTGACAGAGACAGACAATTTACGACTCTTCTTCGAGATGTGTTCTATAGAAGAAGAAATCGCAACATCCAAGAAATCATTGTTCGGTGTCAAGTCATCCAGCCAAGAGCTCAAATTCAAGGTAGATGCTTATAATTTAACCACACTAGTCACTACAATTGCTTTTGTAAATGCATTGAATGACTTCTCTTTGGATTTTCATGCGAGAAATGCAATGACATCCATTAGAAATGTTTAACAATTGATAGAGAAATTCAGCGGAATCTCTTTCCGGGTGTGTCACAGTCACGGGCAATACATTAAAAAGTCCAACTGAACACGCATGCATAAAACATGGTACAGAGCGAGAATTTCGGATCAATAAAAATGTTCTCCACGTCGTGGCTATTGATGTTCTCCACATCGTATGCTTCTTCTCGTTTTACTTTACTAATTTCTTGCACGAGAAGTCATGCTGAGGTGAGGAGTGACATCAAAGACGTGAATGTTTGGGGAGGAAAATTCCGGGAATTTTCACCCAAACACGGAGTGACAGAGTGTGACTAAATGCGCAATTTCAATTTCACCCATGAAAAACATCTCGCGTATAGTCGGGAAGATTAAATGAGGAAAAGTGTCATCTTTCATAGCACACTTGCCATCTATTTCAATCACAATCATCCTCAATAGAAAATGATGAATTCAACGTGATTTTCTTCCTGTTTGGGAGAAAGAGGAAATGTTTGTTCGTCGAGACTTGCCTCCGTTGAATTACTTGCAAATTGAAAGATTCTCTTTGAATTGAGTCTCCCAAGTGCGCCTGAATAAAGTGAATCAATTTGTCTGCAATCATGACCATGGAAATGCTGCCATGCGTATAGTTAAATTGACTCATGCTATAAATGTGAATAGGAAATGACGTATTTTGTGAACACCACACACTTCTCTGCATCTGCTAAATATCACATTGACAAAACTATGGACTTTCCTCTTGATGCCAATGAAAGACAAACTTCATTTTGCAATTTTAAAATCAATCAAGTCACAATTTATCGCTTATATTATGTTTCACCTCAGTTGTGTGTCTCTTTGTCCTGGAGAAGTGCCTGTCCGGGACAAAAAGGAAATACTACCAATTTCCATTCTGTAATACCTCTCCTACCTCTCTGTAAATTATTCAGAATTGAATGATGAATGTGCCACTCTAGAGGGATTTCCATACGTAATTTCGCTCTTTGATGTGGCATGAGATGAAAAACAAGTCAATTTGGTCAGAACATTGAATATTTAACGGCAATACAAATAATAATCTCTTTCGTATCCACCAAATTAATTTACTCACTGGGATAATCAACTAATGAAAATTCAATTAATTTAAATTGATTTCATTAGAATTTAGGGGACTAAAAGCTTCCTCGTTGAAATGCTCAACTACCGCAGAGAAAGCTCAAGCCGAAGCCTGGGAATGAAAAGTATTTTTCTAAACGCTCCCTTTTGTGTGTAAAATATAATAGAGGGAAAATCTACTTAGGAAAAGTTTTTTCCCCACCGAACGGTTGAAGGGATGCCGAGAGACCAAACACTCTCCAAATTGCGGACTGTATAAAATACCACACACAATTTCGTACCTTTGTCTACTGTGTGAACCAAAGATTGACACTGAGGAGGAGATGCAAGGTAGACCACAATCCTGCAATGAAAGGATGTATTGTGGAGCAGTTAAACCCTTGAAATTGCTGAGATAGTGATTTATGTGAACCTGTGCATTGATTTGAAAATAAAACTCTTCCAATCAATCAAGGAACCAGAAAGATAACAAAATTGCTAATCCACAGCTTAGATTTGCATTACAAGATAGTTGGTAATTGTCGCCTTTGTTGTAAATCTGGTGTAGTTAATAACTTTCCTAGAAGGAAATTGACCTGTCACACTTTAAGAGTTATGTATCAAGGGTCAGGAAATACTGATTGAGATTGTTTCAGAATATATTACTACATTTACACTATCAGGACTTTGTTTGTTTGGGTTTTGGAAACACTTTTTAATCAATAACAAATTTATTATGATAGAAATAATACCTGACATCAAAAGCAAGCTTTGAGGGAATTGAATATAAATTTTGAATTGCTGTAATTTTGTATTTTCTATATAATTTTCCTCTCATTAATACGCTTTAGTGTCTATTGTAATTGATTCCGGCAAAATTAATGAATTAATTGTCATTTCATAATATTATGTGTAAAATACTTTTCAAATTTTCGCTCATCTATTTTGAATAATATACATTATTATACATATGTGCTGAGAAATTCATGTTGTTATATTCTAAATGCCATATAATATTAGATTAAGCGCAATTGCAAAGTGCTTTCAGTAATTCCATAATAAAATATACATAGATGTGTATATAGTCTGGTGCTATTGATGGTATTATACGGATGTTTCGTGCAGAACATACCAGACTAGCCGTAAAGCTTAACACTGGAGAGCTGGAAACCCAACTTGGAGCTGAGGAAATGTTGCTATATTAACAGCAAAACATCATGTTGCGCTCATGTAGTTTGCTATGGCTCACTTCCTATCTTATTATGCACTTTTCACAGTATTAATTATACCATTAGCCATCACACACCTCTGTGCCATTGTCATCCATGTGGACACATGTGGATTCCCGGCGATAAATTGATATTCACTGCGTGCCCTGGCTGTGGATCTCCTGCGAATAACTTCCACGATGACTCATCAAAGTCAGAGAGAGTTGAGAGAATTGAGCCTCAGCGATGGGTGACGAGCGAGGGTGCCACATTATACCTCGTCTCGTAGGAACAATATCCCATGAAGAGGCACCGATGTTCATATTAGTGCTCCGACAATGTCAAACAGCGTCATTTTGATGGGAAACGCCGCTTTGGTGGCTCCATCAATATTGATGACTATCTGTGTGTGATGGTGTACTGGCCCAATGACAAGTGGCCGCGGACGAGTCGATAAAAGGCCGTAATTTGTCTTTGATTGATTGAAATTTGTCGATTTTCTGGGATGTAAACAGCAGCAATTGTGCGTTGTGTTAATTTAATTATTCTTCCCATCATTACCTCAATCATCTCTAAGTGTTTTCTTGCGTCACCTCCCACTCATGGTGACCAGCCAATTATACTATCGCACTTGACTTTTCTTTCCCACCACAGAGTGTCCATGCTGAAGAATTTCCTGTATGCTGTCTTTGGGTCAAGACTCGTTAGTGGCTTTTTCAAAAAAAAATGCGTCACCCGAGCACACCTCCAGCCACCATTGCGACACTCTTTTCCGCGACAACCTTGTATGCTATGGGAAAAACCACATCAAATATGCCGGTTGTATTGACCGGTACATCCGTACAATTGCTCTTAAGTGAGATTATTGCCACTGGGCGAGAGTCATGCGACTAGTCACCTGTCTCTGTGGCAACAATCCTTGAGGATCCCCGTCACTACATGATGCTCACCTTTGGCTTGATTGAATAGAAGCCCAGGAGACAAGCGGAAAGATGATCAAACACTGATGGCAATATTTGTATTCATAAAACTACGGCTGTATTCAAGGTATTTTCACACACACTGTGGTTCATGGTGTGGAGACTCCCAAATAGAATTTCATTACACACGAATGGATTTGCCGGCGGGCATCATATATTCACAGTCACGTATGCCAGCGCGACGAAGGGAGGCTCACAGTCGGATTCCGGCGTTCTCGAGGGCGAAGGGGTGGCTGGGAGTCGGTGGAAGCAGCTCCAACGTCTACCCACTCAACCGATTCCACCACTTGTGAGTCTTGAATTCTGCTCTCGGCCGAAATTGGTGGTTAAAAATTAATTGGGCATATTTAAGCGCACATTAGACACAGACATATTCGATACAACAGGTGATTGATTTATTTTCTGATGCATAAAATGTCGACAACTGGCAAACCACACGATCAATATTCATCCAGTATCAGTAGAATATTTAGGACAAAGTATGCATAATTTTCTATGCAATTATTGCAGAATGATCAATTCATTACTGAAATTCTGGATCAGAATTTAATCTGTTGAAGTTGTAGAGAAATGTTTAACTTTTCGAACATGTTTAGAACTTGTAATTATTTCTTTTAGAAACAAACATTTTTGCCCATTTATGGAAATTATTGATGCCTGACATTATATGTTTTTATTGTTATTTATAAAGAAAATATCAATTGGGATTTCCTAATTATTATCGTGTGCTGTTTTTTTTCTCTCTCCACTTCAACCGGAAATTTCTGGGGTTTTCCCACTGCACTCAAGCTGTACAGCTTCTCAACATATCACTGTGATAAATTGTGATTTGATAGAGTCACTTCTCCGCTGAATTACTCGTAATGTCAATTGATTGTGCACAAAAAGTCGAGAAATCGTGAGTTGCGACTCATCTCGACTTTGAGCGGCAATAATAAAATTCCAGGGAGAATTAACTCCACAAATTTATGTGACATTCACACTTTTGCAACATAGCGAGTCTCACGAGTAACACTGGCAATTTGGAAGAGCTTTTCAGTCATAAACAGAATTTATTGATTCACCATTGATTTTCTCTCAACCCTTATCAGATTTATACCACCAAATTTCACAGGCGTTAGTATAGTTTAACTATTCTGCTGGATTTGAGGAAAAAAAAAGTTGAAAACGAACCAAATTTCCAATACTGCATTTAATCATATTTCTATACCTAAGGGAAAGAGAGAATAAAATGATTTATGCAAAAACTCTAACCCACATTGAAGTTATAAATTGAGCGAGAAAATTTCGCTATCGGGAAATTAATGTTTTCTATATTAATTTTATACCTACCCTCATTAAATAATATGCCAAATCGAGTGTTAATGATTGTATCTTGTTTTTATTCTAATTAATGTCACAAAGCAATGTATTCGTGAGCTAACAAGTGGTGTAATGTTAAAGTCGGCGTTAAGATCATCCTTGCGCGTTCAAGAGGAATATCCTTGCTGTCGGTGCCAATATAACCTCTCCCGGAGGGGCTGAAGAGGTACTCCCAGATGCTCAATGAACATTTCATCGGAGTTTGTTTTGGTTGTTTATCCAAATACCGTGTAAACGAATTTATGGTTACAGTATGTGTCAAATATAGGGAGAGGAAATTGGTTTGCAAGATTCCAGGGTGGCAAACTATATTCGCACAGGAAGTGCTGGGAGTTCCATGTAAGGTATCCAGAAGTCATTTTCACACGTCTTTCCAGGTGAAACTACCAATGGTTGTGGCACTTTGTATTTGTGTTGTATTTTATGGAGTGCAAATGTGTAATTTCATGTTGTTTTTGGTGAGAGATTGTTCAACATTTCGTCAGATATTTCCCATCCGATAGCAATATGACTTTCCAGGTATTTCCAGTCTTTCCGCACGCAGATGTTCCGTCATAAATAAACAAATAACATCTCCAGGGATTTAATGGCATTTGTGTGCTTCTGAATGTTGAAATCTAATGTGTATTATTAATAATACCTTCACCTTATTCACCTTCTCTGAGTGTACGCATTAAATGTTGCTCGCTTTTCGCGAGCAATGTGACTGGGAAAATTGAGAAAAATGACACCCTCTTCATAAATTAATGTTACACGCCGTGGTTTTCCAGATTTCATTTCCATGTGGCAAATGGAGAAGGGCAAATGAATAAGTTCTGGACAGGAATGTTATGATACCTTTTTCATTTATTAGTCTATTCTGTCATGAGAAAAATTTTTCTCATCATAGAAATGCTCACAGAAATGTATTCATAACTCGATTGAGAGCATGAAAACACCCTGAACTTTTAATTAAAAGTAGTGAGTTTTCCTCACTCCTTCGATCAATACTGGCTCTCTGATGAGACTTTTACATTCAGATTGCTAATTTTGAACTTTCATAGCGAAATATACATAAAAATTTATATGAAATGATATTTAAAAATATTCTCACTAAATAGATTTCACGTATGGTGAGAATGTTAATTGTCAGAACGTAAAGTATAAATATTTAAACTCTTTTCGGAGAGAACGATGCCAAATGTGCATTTCAAATAGATGAAGGAACACACTTCCATATAAATGTTTTTAAGTGCATTGCTAGAACTGAAAGTGCAATTAATTTTGGCATAGCGGGAAAATTATCTAAACTTTCTCTATAAAAGCAAACCACAAAATATCGCCTTCGCTTATGCAGATTGCCCACTTTAGTTAAATTGGACTTTCGCACATTTATTGAACCACATTCAATGCTAAGAACCTCGGAACAATTGGCAAGCACTCTTCCCTGAAATATTAGGTGTGATGGTTTGACGAAAGCTACAAATTCATGTATTAATTTGCGCGCGCTCACGATCAAGAAAGGCATAATAAGTAATCGGAAAAATCACTCGATTGACCTATTTTCAATTGGATCGCACATAAAAATCGTCTCTTGTCCGCAAATTTACACTACATCAAGACAGTATGCGTGGCGTGATGCAAAGTATGTTGTGACACATCTGAATTTTTGCTCTGCATTTCCTCTACAATCATTTCCATTCTCCATTGTTGCAGGAAACACAAATCTCGTTGGAAAATTCACTCAGAGTGTTCGACGAATCGTCCAAGATGTGAAAGATGAAGGAGCTGCAAGTAAGTTAATGATTTTCGCAATTCCATTCTTTCTTTGTTCTGCTTCATTACCTGTAACATTTTGCCGAAATGGAAAAGGATGTTACACATTTCAGATTGGTATTGATTTTTGATAATTGAAATATTTTAATTATCGCACTGAAATGAAATATAGTGACAAAAAAGTGTGTATTTATAAATAATTTGAAATGCAATACTTGCTATTGAAAATACAGAGTTTTATTTAAACACGGAAAAAAATTGCCGAAGCGGAGATGAAAAATTTAGAGTTCAATTATGAAAAACCTGATGGAATAAAAATTATTTAAAAATTTGTGGCACTTCCACTCATCGGCACTTTCAGGTGGAATGAGCCGCGAAGAGGTGATAGCAACAAATGAGAGACTCCGTGCTGTGAGACTTCGCTTGGAGGATTCATATGACACCGCCAAACAGGCACTCGTGACGCTCATGAACAAGTACGGCGACTCGAAGAGCCACCGGAACATTTTCAATCGCTACCCACTGCTTAAGGTCATGATCAAGGAGGTCATCCGCCTGGAGACGCAGTACTGGACGCTTGTGGACATTCCCAAACAGGAGAAGCAGGAAACCGTGCCGGCGTACGTGATGCGCGCGTGTGCCATCATGGAGAAGACCCAGAAGTCCGGCGAGGGCGTCAAGACGTCCGCCAAGCTGGCCGAAGAGGCCGCCGAGAGACGTGAAAGACTGGATAGGCTTGAATGTAAGTTAAAAGAGAGACAGTTTCAATTCCATGCAATGATTAAAATCCACCATTAATTTATGAGTTTTTTTTTTTTTCATTTGTTTCTTTATTGCCAGCAATCTGTATTATTATTACAATCAGCTTTCTTGTTGAATTGAAATTTTGACAGAAAAAGGGATTCCAATTTTGAAACCCCACACAGAGACTTTACATATAATTAAAGAGGTCTGAGGGCTTTATGCGCCTAAGTCTTCTATGCTCGCCAAGGTCAATAGCAAGATTGCCTGCAGCATCATTAGGGTGAGAGAGAAGTCGTTCCCTGTAGTTTCTGCTGAGTTTCTTTATCTCATCGGAGACCGTGGGCATGCAGAGATCATGGTGTAGTAAGTCATTGGAGACGTACCAGGGCGCGTCCACTATTTGTCTGAGAACCTTATTTTGGAATCGCTGCAGGATGTCCGTGTTGGATCTCGAAGCTGTGCCCCAGAGTTGGATTCCGTAGGTCCATACAGGTTTAAGGATTGCCTTGTACAAGAGAAGCTTGTTTTCGGTGGACAGCTGAGACTTCCTTCCCATGAGCCAGTAAAATTTCCTCCACTTCAGGCTAAGTTGTTTCCGCTTACTCCATATATGGGTCTTCCAGGTCAGACGCCTGTCGAGGTGCATGCCCAGGTATTTAGTGGAGTCCGCCTGCGTGATCTGTTGACCATTCAGAGTTACCGGAGGGCAAGTTCCCTTCCTCAAGGTGAAAGTGACCTGGATCGACTTCTCCTCATTTGCCTTAAATCTCCAATTCCGAAACCATTGCTCCATCTTTTCGAGGCTAAGTTGTAGAGTTCGAGATGCCAGTTCCGGGGAGTCGCTCCTGGCAAGAATTGCTGTATCGTCAGCGTACGTTGCCACAGTTGTTGAAGGCAGTACAGGTAGGTCTGATGTGTAAATGAGGAAGAGAACTGGCCCGAGCACACTACCCTGTGGCACTCCCGCGCTCACCTCTCGGAGGGAAGTCAGCTCCGCCCTCTGCTGCACCAGAAAGACTCGATTTGTCAGGAAAGACTCCAGGATACGGGACAGTGAAGCAGGTAGAAGTTGCCGCAGTTTATGTTTCAAGCCGTCATGCCAGACCTTGTCAAAGGCCTGGCTGATGTCCAGGAAGGCTGCCGCGCAGTACTCTTTCTCCTCGAAGGCGGTGTGTATTTCATCAACCACGCGATGGATTTGTTCAGTGGTGGCATGTCCCTCTCTGAATCCAAATTGGTGTGATGGAAGAATGTCTTTGTTGAGGAGAAACTTCATTCTTTTGAGTAGGAGCTTCTCAAATATTTTTGAGAGAACGGGCAGCAGACTGATAGGGCGATAGGACTCCACCGCTTCCGGTCTCTTTCCTGGTTTGGCTATCATTATGACCTGCGCAACTTTCCAGTGGTCTGGGAAATGGCCGAGTCGGAGAATAGCGTTGAAAATCCTCTGCAGGAACCTCAAGCATCTCGGAGACATCTCTCTTAATAGCGACGCCGTAATAAGGTCGTATCCCGGGGCTTTTTTCGGGTTGACTTCGTATAAAAGAACATTCAGAATCTCCTCCAGGGTGAATCTCTTCATTTGCCGCCGAGTTCCTACAGAGTTCAGCTCTATAGAGTCGCCATTCCATTGAGCAGGATCATTCGACCAGGGTTGAAAGACACGTGTGAGATGACTTGCAAAGGTCACTGCTTTTTGAGTATCATCCCTCGCCCAAGCCCCGTCTTCCATCCTAATAGGAGGGACAGACAGGGTCGGGCGGTTAAGCCTCTTCGCCGCCTTCCAGAGGCTATAATCGGTTGCGCTTGTGGCTGATAAATTCTCCAGGTAGGAGCCCATCGAGTCATTACGGATTTGGCGCAATAGGAGCTTCAGGTTTTGCGCAGCCTGATTATATTTTGCCTTGTCTACGGGATGGCGGGTATTTCTCCATCTCCTTCTGAGCGCTCTCTTCTGCTTCAGCAAATCTCTCACTGCCTCAGGCACCGCCTCAGCTGACTTCCCCCTCTCGGCAGTTGGCGTGGAGCTCCACGCAGCACTCTGAATAGTTTCTGTGAGATGAACCACAGCCGCCTCTAAGTCCACTTCCGTGTTCAGAGTGGGCAGATATGCGATCTCCGTGTCCAGATATGCGCGAAAAGCAGTCCAATCAGTCCGCCTGTTTGTGAGAGTCGGTGGTCCCGGAAAGAGAGCAACATCAGCACTCAATTCCAACACCAAAGGGACATGGTCAGACGAAAGGTCGAAAAGAGTCCTTATTCGACATTTGCTGGCATCTACACCACTAACGACGCAGAAGTCCAGGAGATCAGGCAGCTTATTCACGTCTGACGGCCAGTATGTGGGCTCCCCACCAGAGATGTGGTTATAGGACTTCCTTCTCATGGCCTTCTCGAGCTCTCTGCCGCGAGGACTAGCCAGGCGAGAGCCCCACTGCGGATGCTTCGCGTTGTAATCCCCAGCGGCGATGAAATTTTGTCCCAGTGATTCGAAGAATTCCTCAAACATGTGGCTCTTCAGTGTATGTTTCGGGGGGCAGTAGACGGAGGAGATGATCATTGGACCTCCCCAGCACCAGATCTCCACGCTTGTTGCCTGGAGATGCTCCTGTTCAAATTTCTCCCCGACGGAATGTTTGATGTTTCTTCTGATGAGGATGGCCGTGCCGCCATGGGCCGTGCCATCGGGGTGCTCAGTGCTGTATAAAACATATTGCGGAATTTTCAGGAAACTCCTAGCCGTGAAATGAGTTTCAGATATCAGCATGATGTCAATTTCATTATTTTGTAAAAAAGTCTTCAGTTCCAGAGCATGATTGCAAAGGCCGTTGGCGTTCCAGATGCCAATTTTTAAAAATTGTATCATCATGGAATGAGCTTTGAGATGACTTGTGAGAGGAGATTCATCATTGTGGACATTTGCTCTGTGAGAGTTTTCATCATCGCTTTAAGCTCAGTCATATCAGAGTTATGAGTCGTAAGTGGCGCGTGGCCAGCTGGGCAAACTTCGCTCGAATTCGCCGTGGGACGTGTGTTTACATTTTTGGTGATGTTTGCATATGACACTTGTGGATTTCGCCGTGAGCTGCCCTCTCCCTGGTCAGGGAGATCCGGCGGGTCCGCGCTCTGCCGCAGCCTCATCTCCGCACGCAACTCACGCACTCTCTGTCTCAGCTCAGGGCGGCTTCTTTGCATCAGCTCCAGGTGAACTTTACAGCCTTTATAGTTTGCCGGGTGGCCTTCAGAGCCACAATTGACACATCTCACTTTCGAGTCGCGATCTTTACGGGAGCACTCAGAAGTCAGGTGGGACCCCGCGCATTTTACACACCTGGGATCACGGTTGCAGAAGGCTTTTGAGTGGTTAAATCTCTGACACCGCATACACTGTACAGCTTCCCTCCTGGCGTGCGGAGGCTCGAACTTGACAACATAATTTAGCAGGCGATCCAAGGAGTAAATGTCCTTGTTGTTTGGTTGCGGCTGGAGATCCACATAGAACATGGACAGCGGGGCCTTCGTAGCTCTGTGTCTTATGTTGTGGACGTTTGTGACTCTGTGGCCCACGGCCTCCAATGCCTTCTTGATGTCATCCGCGTTAGTGGAGAAATGAACATTTCTCAGCACGACACGGAAGCTACGCTCATCTCGCGGCTTATACGAGTGCATATCAGTCTTGTTCTCCTTCAGCCTTTTCATCAGGGATCGGTAAATCTCGCTAGACTTGACGCGGATTTTCACTGTTCCCTTCTCCATGGATTTCATGGAGTACTCGTCCGCAGAAAATTCCTCGAGAAGCTTTCTCAAGGGGTCAATTTGTTCAACGCCGTGTATGAATATCGGCGGAGGTCTGGGGCCATTCTTCTGGCCAGGCTGGGCTGTTTCACTGTCCGGAACATCAACTTCGATTGGCTCGAAGCGATTCGAGGTGGGCACGGGAGGAGCTGCCAGCCAATATTTGCTCAGCTTCGTCTGCTTGGGCCTTCTATCCGACGAGGGGGCACCTTCTTCTCTTCCCCTCTTTCCGGGTGTCGTTAGGTTTAAGGTTGGTGCAGCGATGAGCTGCTTGTCAGTTGCGCGGTCCGTCATTTTTGCAAATAGCGTCGGATTTGTCTTCGAGATCGCACGGTAAGTACGCTCCACAACCTGATGGTGTGACCGTGGATCCCTAGGACCTAAAATAAGTGTGCCAAAGGGCTCCCAGCAAAGAGAAATATAAGAAAAAGGCCAGAGCGACGAAAACAAACAGCCAGTCACTTGCCTGAAGTTGGCGCCAAAATTTATGAGTGATTAAATTTAAATTTACAAACATGAGCAAATAAGCATCAAATTTCCGCATCATTAGTCATAAATTTTCTCTGAAGATCCTGAAATCTCCATAATTGAGACTTTTTAAAAGAGACGCTCTTTATCCTCCCAGCATCATTTAATCTAAAATTAAAAACATCTCATTAGGAGGCAAGAGAGACTTCCCTTGAGGCTATGTTGGTGTTGTTATGAGTCGGATTTGCGAAAGTAATTCCCACAGTTACTATACTATACAAAATATTAATCAGAGTTTCTTTTCTTGCATGTCCTTTGTGTCGTCTGCAGCAATGACAACGGCTCTAATTGAACAGGAGAACACGCAAATGATTAACGATTTGTATCGTTTGCTGAAGAAATATTCAGGACTGCGAAATCTAATAAGGGAGCTCAAGGTGAGACAGAAAGATGAGGACAAAACATCTTCGTACGCAAATTCAATTATGCGATGCCTTTCTGGGCGTGAACGGATGAAAAATAAAATATATATTTTTCGGCAAAAAGGAAAAGGTGCAAATGGAAGACAAAGCTCAGTGAAATGCTGACAATGGTCTTTACTTTTTACTGTATAGCATTTTGTTGTCAGCATTTTATTGGGCAAAATGTCGGCTTAATGACCCCCAAAGTTCATCATTTCAGCATCATCCTCGTGATGATCTTAATTTTCATAATGTCCGCCCGAGCTCGTTTGCCGAAAAATTGCCCTCCTTTGCATAATAAAATGTTAATATTGTTTAATAATATGAAATTGTCATGTGCCTGTATCTCTTTCCATGACGACAATCCGGCTCGGCAGTCTGAGTACGGCAACTCCAAGTTGTATCCAATTTTTCCACGCTACACCATGCTCAAGGATATGATTAAGGACATCATGCACGATCCTGATTACATGGAAGTGTGTCACGAAGTAGACAACTAAGGTCTGGGTGCGAGACGCTTGATATTTTTCTTCCTTCCCCCTTCGGCCCGGCGCCAGCTCCCTCGCGAGATGAAGATGACACGGGAGCGACAAGTCCCCAGAGGAGTCACCATATTAGGATGGAGTGAATATGAATAAGGCGGCATTGATACGCATACAATTGCGGATTATATTGTGTTTATGGAGGGAAAAGTTGGGGGTGTGGAGTTCAATTGGAGCCCAAGAAAGCACCTATAAAAGCTTATTTCTAGTGTTATATATTTATTTGCCAGTTTATGTGACGACGCGAGATGGGAGGAAAATGAAATAGACATGACGCACTTGTAATCTCCTGGCAAAGGAGACATGAAGGATTAGCTATGGAGTATTTTTCATACATTTACAAAGGGGAATTTTCCGAAATTTTTCATTATGGCAGTCAAAGAGAGTTTAGAGCATTTTAGGCGATCATCTGTAGAATTCGTAAATATAGTTTTTAGATATTTATTAACAAAATTAAATATAAATCTAAAAAATGCGCACAATCGAAATTGAAATATTCATTTTCAAGTTCATTTTGTTAAAAATATATATCGAATAACTAATTCAGTACATCATAATGGTATAATAGGTGCATATTTGGCGACATTTGTTCACAGACATTATGCCAAATTGTTTAAAAAGAAATACAGAGCTTTACTTCTACATGTATAGCGTAATGCAATAAATTCAAGATTACCGAAATAACTTAGAAGAATACCAAAGTTTTATACACTCTCGCTTTTTGATGAAACATTTCGGAAAATTCTCACATAGATCAAATTTCGTGTGAAATTGCATACCTCGTAAAACATTGGAGCAGGCACTCAATATATCCATGGCTTGGAGGAAGGATCCGCGCAATAACAAGTTGAATAAATCCAAACAGATGGGTGTTTTGTAGTCTTGGGGAGCGTCTATTGACTGTTGCCGGGCTTCGTGCTCAACTCGAGGATAATCTCGCGTTGATGATGATATAAAATGGATCAGGGTGGAGAATGTGGCTTGGAGGGCAGGAACAGGAAAGTGTATGACAGTGATGAGAGGAATCACGAAGAAAACACTAGAGAAATATTGTACATATTATATGTGTTGGAGTAGTAAAAGAAGTTCGTACCATTTCTGGTTGATGGCTAGGAGAAACCAAACAAAAGTATGGCGAAGAACAGTGTGAGAAATTCCCATGATATTCTCCTCAAGTGGTGTGACACTGTAATAACCATCCTTGACATCTTTTTCGCTCTACAATTCCATATATCATGTTCATTTTCCACAATGCATTATTTTTTTTTTTGGTGAGCACGGGACAAGCATTAAGTGCAGAATCATATAGTACGGATTTATTTTCCATTGAGATAGTATCAGTATAAATCTCACAGAAGATCGTGTAGTTAAAAGCTATTAAAATAATTTGTTAAAGTTGATGAAGAATGATGAAAAAAAAATTGTGCCAACCCTCCTCGAAATATATCACAGAATATTATAGAAGTCGATACAAAAGAGCGCATTCATATGAATCAAATATCATGTGAGGAAGATAATGAAATTTAATAACATAACGACCAATATTGAGACAAAAGTAATAAATAAGAACACAATAGAGAATAAAATTAAGCAAGAAAAGCTGTAAGTGACTTTATTGTTGTAGCATCGTACTAAAATGTATGCAAAAATATGCTTGATAAATGTGAGTTCTATCATAGTAATAATGTGTAATATGTACACGAAGAATTGGTATCGATAATTCGTATAATCTGTTGAATATCGTGCTATAAGCAGTGACTCCTGCAAATTCAAGACCCAAAAATGTTATTTATAACACGTGGAAGGAAATTTTGAATGCGAAGAAGTGATTGAATTTCAAAATTCAAGTTCTCCAAACCCAACTTTCAAGTGTTTCTCACGTCTGCATTTCGAAGGAGTCACTGTAGTAACACACAATATGACCTATCATGATTTAGTGAGCATACATAAACATACATATACATTATAACAGAGTACCTAAACACTGAATATTTTAGAATTTGACCGCAAGGAACAACATCAAAGGGTATGTGACGTGCAGAATTTATACCAGAAAATTATATTGGCAGATGAAGGAGGGAAATATGATACTGTCTAAGACAACACTTAATGTAAACTTATCAATCATATGAAATCGCATATATTGAAATATGTGTTAATCCTCAATGTCTGTGTATATCGATATGAAATTAATGGAGCGTTAAAATTATTGATTTTACCATGGCCAGAGGTTGAATTTTTAACCGCCACCCCCTAAGTTGGCCGCTACCAAGAGGTATAACATTGTATAAATGTTCAAGCTGATCCATTAGTGAGTTGACTGGCGTGTAGTAAATGTTTTGAGTGATTTATAAGCGAGCTAACGCATCAAAGAATGCAAAACTAAAGATATATTTGACGTTGCTACATTATAGTTTGTTAATTATGAGAATGGGGAGGCTTAATTTTAAAAAAGTTGTACATTAAATGAATTGAAACATGGAAATTGCACCCACCGAAAAGAAACCCAAGTTACATTAGAGTCATCAGATAACTCGTGTACATTGAACTCAATCTGAGAGCTTAACTTACTGTGTAGATTACTCGCTAGTGGGAAATACATTAAAACACATCAACCTTGTAACTCGACCAACTGACAACATTTGTGCAAAGACGGTGAAGACAAAAACAAGAAAACACTTTAGAGAAAAAATTAATACACATTCTTGTAAAACCCACCCAGAGGAAAACTTCGTATTTATACACTGGATTGAACATGAAAGAATTTCTCAATTGACACTCATGGTCTATTTTTGATACACTTTTGACAAAGTTAAAATTTACTTTGGCTCTCTTACTAGTTGGCGCTTTAGAGGAAGCTCTCATGTATATTTTTTCTCCATCATGAAGACACTCTTTGAGCATCTATTCTTCGTTGAATTTTGTGAAAGACTTTAAGACACGACAAAATGCTATATCAATATTGTAATCTTCTCTCTGTAAGGAGGAGGGGCGTTGTAAGCAGAGTTATAATTGAAAAAAAATATCAAAAGAATAAATATTTAATGTGACACTGACACGGATACTTCATATTTTGAATTAGCGCATAAACTTTGCCGTTTGTAAACTATTTTTATTGGCAAATGGAAAAGAAAGAAAACATTTAGCCTGTAAGAAGTAATATTGAAAATATGGTGTGTAAGCAGATTAATAAATAAATATACAAAATATATATTGTTTGATTGTTTCTCCAATTCGTCTTGCAAGGGTTAAGAATTATTCTCTTAGAATTCTAGCACAGACACCAAAACTCTTAAATGCTCTCAAAGCGAGGTGTCTCTTATTAATTTGCCATTTCGCCACAATTCGCCGAAGAGACTCAATGCTTAGCCGGGACTCCAACGTTTACGGGGCGAATTTATCCAGAAACTGCCAATGCTGCATTCGCACGAGGGCTTTCAATGTCGATCCGGAGACTGCCGAACAGGCGGCGTGGAAGGCGATCACATTGAGGCGCGTAAATTCCAAACAAGAAACTATTTTTCAGTCTCTCTTGTGCCGGCAACGCGAACGCGGCTCATGAGAAGTCTCCCCGCGAACCGTCACTCTTTCCATGGTTAATCTAATTTGTGAAGCAGTGAGGTAATGCTAATCAAGTCGCTCGAGTCTGAATCCGTGAATTAACAAATTTTTCACCGTCACCGCACGAAAGAAGTGTGAATTTGGTGGATTTTTGGTGTTTTCTGGAATACGCCGAGAGGAAGTTGTACCATGTGTGTTGGTTGAAGTGAGGATTGCTCAACGGCAAAATCAACGAACTGAAAATTAAAATATATACCTTTTTCCCAGTGAGACAGCACGTGAAATAAAAGGTGAATAATGCACACAGTGTGGGCAATTTGAAGGAAAAAAAAAGATAGTGAGGGTTGGATAAGTGGTGCAGAAGTCACTGTTGGAGTGTTGCAAGAGAGTAAAGAAAACGAGGAGACAGAAGACATTTTTAATTGCATTATACAGAGTGTTTTCCCAGTTTGACTGTGGATTCTGTCTCTGATCAGACACTAAAAACCAAACGTAATTTAGCATCTATTCTCTCTGAGTAGTGTGTAGCATAAAGTTGTGTTTCATCAACATTCACTCTCATTACCTCGTCGTTTGCGTAACAATTTGAGATCGCTTGGTTGGAAGCCATCAGAGTGGATGGAAGGTGAATGGAGAGTCGCGCTATTCGCGCTCAATCGGACTAGCCGGCACCTTGACAAGCCGGCTCATTGAATATGCTTTTAATTATGTGTGGCCCCAGTAAAATAATTATGGAATGATTCCAGGGGCAGATGCAGAGGAAAATCGGGAGGAATTTTGAAATGGGGCCAGATGAGAGTTTCTCGTCTGCACTTCCAAGGGCTTCAATTTCATGGTGTTTGATGCATTTTATGGTTGGCCTGGGAGGAACAAACTGTATTGAATGCAGACACACAGAGGGCCATTTCTGAGGCGGACGCACAAGGGAGAGAACGAGAGAGATGCGTCGTTTGAGGGAAGCTCGTGTGGAGAAAAAAAAACCAGTCGGATGAACTGAGAAACGCATCCCAAAAATACCTCTAGGGTAGAGAGAGAATACCTGATTGAAGAGTGTTCCTCTGCCGCCGTACAGCGTCAGAAATTGCTGAAAAAATTCACGAGTAACTGTTACAAGGGGGAGTTTTACAGCCGAGGATTGTACATTTCAAACAGCGCTCTCTCTCTTATTGAATTATGATTTTTGTAAAAACTTAATTATCACATTAGAGATAGTATCTCTCACAGAGCCTCTTGCATAAGTACAATAAACTTGAAATTGAATGCGAAATTGAGTAATTATAAAAAGTAAAGTTAATTGTTTTCCATCCACTTCGAAATATGTACTTGTGCGATTTTTGCCTCGATGATTTCGAATGACTAACGAGAATCTCTCTATTAACCCTTGAGAAGTGCTGTAGAATTTATGCAAAGATTAAAATCATCTCACTTGCATCTTGTGGCGTCGAAGGGTTAATTATACTTCGTGGTCCGGCGATTTTTACGGAAGCAGAATTGCAACATCTCAATCTCATCATGAGCTTATGAAAGCGACTCGCGAAGAAGTCTTGCGGTGTACACATTCTGATCACGCCTTCACCTCTTGCGTGCCGACCTTCGAGAAACCGTGTTTTGGGAACATTTTTTTTCACTATAATTTTATTCTTTCGCTGCGTGTTCCCAGCGAGGCAGGTGATTGAATGGGAGGAAGCCTAATTGTGGCTGGTTTCGGCTTGAACATTTTATGTCCCTGGGACAGTCACACTTTTTCATGATGGGAAAATTGCGGGTTGAGCATAAAATGCTCTCAACTCGCCAGCAACTTGTCCCGACTCGTGACTTCAACCAAGCGATCCTTGCCAAATTCCAGGTGGCCATCCCGCGTAGCCGTCGAAGTGGCAATTTGTTGAGGTGAGCGGCAAGCAAGAGTGGTGCAGTGGTGAACAATAAAATGCAACAAAATGCCCTTCGTTCAGCGTGTTGTGAGTCCAGTGTACATTGCACGCTCCACCAGAGCCACAGGGCGCGCCCAGTCTCCCGTGCCGGTGAGCAGTGCTCCGGAGCCGGGATGCAGCGGCGCCGGACAGAGCGGCGACCAGGTCGCTGTGGTCCAGAGGGGCGCTCCCCTCAGTGATCACGAGCTGGAGGCCGTGACGAACGTAACGCTGAGCAATGCCCTGAAGCAGCTGGCGAGTCTCGTGCTCATCGCCAATGACATCTTCACGGAGCTCAACAGCCAGCTGCAGGGCGTGAGTGAGCGCTCACGAGGCATCAAGCAGCGCATCGATGTCCTGCAGCAGCGCGTGGAGGAGTTTGACCCCAAGATGGTCGCAGTTCGTAAGTGCCAAGTCATTATCTCTCTATTCACACTTGTGGCCCCGAGAGTCGACTGAAATGTGCGCCCTTATCTTGTCCGGAGCGCCTCATCAAAGTGCTCACATGAACACCTAGTTTCCTCTCCTCCATGGCTTCCGTTCTCCGCAGCTCTTCTCCAGTCCACCTCTCATGTCCCCAGAAAGATAGGCGTTTTTCTCGCCTCTTCATATCTATACAGTTATTGGAATGTAAAAGAACACACCTGCCTGTATTTCTACATTGCAGTCCATGTGGAAAACACGGGCGATTTTGAAAATCTGCTTACTTTTCTCCCTGAATATGACACTTGATTTCTTTTGGAATACTTTTCTCTGTGTTCACACATTATTTGCTGAAGACTTACTTGAGAAAAAAAAGGAGAAAAGGTGTTCCACTCAGACTCTGTTCACTGTGCATCTCATCTGCTTGGGAATATTTTGTGAATCCGGGGAAATGAACTATGAGATAAAGTGTCACTCTCACACTAAAACTTGAGGAATGTGGGATGTCTATGAATTATACGACATATGCAGACGTATGGCTCTTTTTGCTCTCTTCTCACACCTTGAGACGTACACCTCATGGCGGGAGGAGTAAACAGAGAGTATCAGGACGAGCATTTCCTGATAGCATCATTCGTTTCTCCCGAGAAACTGCCAGACACTGAAATCTCCTCGACTTCTTGGCAGTCGGGTTGGAAAAGGTGTGATTCAGATATAATCGGATTACGTCTCTTATGCTGGGTTTCCTGTTTCCTCGTGTTTTCACATACGTGGCATTGTCAAGATGATGCGACGACGATGAGAAATATGAAATGGAGAAATTTATTGTCTCACATCCCATAGTTTCCCCAGTGGTGGTGACGAACTGAAATTATTTTCTGATTTATTACTTCAGGATAACCACTTTCCCATCCAATAACATTCGGACAGGATATTCATTTATATTTCAAAAATTCAATTTGTCCTCCACTCTACACTGTGAGATGATTGGGGTTAAAGTGGAGAGAAAGGGAAAATCAATTTTAAAATCTGATAATAAACACAGCGTTTCAATGGGAGAAAACACGACACATTCACGCATAGTCTGCTCACTTTTAAATATAAAGTTCACTCAAAGAAACCACATTATTTGCCGAGATACTCAAGCATGGATGACTTCTGGACTCTGTCAGCCATGCGAAGAGCACATCTGAGATTTTCCTTCCATCGCGCTCCGTAATTGTTTATTGGACTGCTCGTGCACCAAGTTTTTGCTCTCTCTCTCTCTCTCTCTCCACAAATTAATTAAGTAAACGCATCCCGGAATCATGGACTTCCAGCCAGTTCTGTTGATGTTATACTTCACCACAGAAAAAAAATACCCGCGCCTGGATAATACAACAAAAACGGCACACAAAAAGGCCAATGCGTAGATTGAAAATTTGAATTTGTACACAAAAATTTGAATGCCTCGCGTATGAATAGGTATGTTTCCATGGAAGTGAAGCTGATATATTTCTAAAATATACCGCAACACATTTAATTGAGTCATATCACGCGACGAAGTCTTCCAGAGAAACGTGACAATTTTTATTTTTGCACAGTTTGACTGTGAGTTGTAATTGCAATGAGACTTTTGTGTGAAATTTCAAAGTTTTTGTCGCATTGAGTGGAGTTGAGAAAAACGTGAGGCTCTGTATATTTTATTTGGGATGAAATTTGAGTGTCTTTTGAGATTAAAATCCGGTCTATAAACCCCTTTTGCGTCACTCTCATGAATTTTCCTCTGGAATTTATCTTTCACTTCCACTCGAAATTGGAGTTTAGTGGCCCGTCTAGGGCACTTTTGTACGGGGAGAATGCATATTAATGGTCGTCACTATCTCTGTACTTTTTTATATCGAGTAAAGGGTATTTGTAATAAAAAATGGGAAGCAATTTATCCCCAGACAACGTATGTTAGAAGGTACACATATTATGTGGTTTGTGATGAAAAAAAAAAAATTAATCTATCCTTTTCATTTCAGTCCCACAGAGCGAACGCGCAGATAATTGTCCCATTTGGGTATTTCATAGATGACTTTATGTGGTGGTTTACTTAAATTTTATCATCTCTTTATGCCGAGATAATGCGGCACTAAACATTTTTGAGGATAGCATAAAAGGACCTCAGAGTGCATGTCATGCATCCAAAAGAGTGTAGCAATTTCCTCAAGATTACACGCTCACGATGAGGAGCATTTCTTTCCAGACGAAATTTTCTTCGCATTAAGGCAAGAATCATAAAAAAGTTATTTTTACAGAAGCAAAAGAGGAGTTTTAGACTCTTTTTGGCCATGGCGTGTCTGGCGATGGCACAAAGAGGTTCCCCTCTCGGTGGGGTCATTGATTGCTGTGCATACCAATCAAACGGGGTTAATTGAAAAATCACAACCATATGATTAATTTGCATTCACTGCGCCAGAGAGTTCAAATTAGCAATTCTCCTCAGAGTTCTCTTTCATGTTTCAATTAATTGCTGATTTATGCACATGCTCCATCTCAAGATTGGTGCATCGAGTGCGAGGGTGAGCCCGCAGGAAGAGGGCTTCATCCGCAATTTATTGTAATTCAATGCGAAATTCCGTGTGTAATCCTGGGTGATGAATACTTCCCCATGGAGTGCACGCTAGTTTGCCCAACACGGGCTGTTGCTGTTGCCGATGTACCATGTTATTACGTACCGACGCGCCGGCACTTTCTCACTTGACACTCTCCCCGAGCCACCCACTAATTTTATGATAAACACCCACCAGCTCGTCTCGCAAATATCACAATGCAAATGCGTTTCTCAAATGAGGCATTTACACGGTGCTTGAGCGTCGACTGAACGATAAAACATGAATATGACCACTAAAGTCTGTCCCATATTTGCGCTTCTGCCGCGTGGGTGGGCGGAAAAGCTCACCCTAGCGGAGGGGTTTTCACTTTTGATCACTATCGAGTACCCAGCGTCATGCAGTTTTAACGCCACGCTCTCATCTCTCACGCTAAAATGGTAATTGCATTTGCATAGAAGGATGAACTTCACATCAACGCGCAACATTGTCGCCTTCTTCGGGGTTAAAACATGGGTTTGCAAAGAAGTGCGCTAAATGGCATTTGCAACACAGCTTATGCTGTGGAAACCTAATGAATTTCCTATTTGATTAACATGAAACGCCTCTTTCATCTTCCACACGTGTTTTGTGCTTGTGTGCAATGAAGTCGGAAAATCAATTTCTTGATTTTGCGTTGCTCGTTTGACCTGGGAAAAATACAATTGTCAAGTTTCCACAATTGTAATAGAATTAACAAAATTTCTGTCGGCTTAAACATCAAATTAAATTAATTACAAAAGTGGTGAAAATATGGGAAAACTTTACACACACTCTTGTTCAGTTAGAGACGCTTTTGAGGTCGAAATGGAGTGAAATTAATTTCAAAACAGCCCCACATTGTGAATTCAAAGGAAAGATTTTGATAGTTATGGAGTGGGAAATGGGACCGAATGCAGTGGAGTCTGGACTGCATATATTCCCTGGGAAGCGGCAGGATTGTGGTCTGTGCGAAGGAATTCGCCATATGTGGTTATCATGGAAAGTCACTGTGGGTGGTACACGCTTTGTGTCGTCGCGAAAGGGAACACCCGTCGGGGAGACGTGCAAATTGATTGTGAGCCGTTTGGGAAGTTTGAATAACCATTAAATTCAATTAATTAAACAAACCGAACAACGACTGTGTTGACATGGCGTAATCAAAGAGGGCAACTACCTCTCTCTGAGGCGCAAGACTTCAATTAAAACAGCAATTTTCGAATGCAGAAGGAATAATTCTTGCTGGGCGCTCAGGTCAAGTGATCCAAATGACACGATCACGTCTGCAATAAATTTCTCTGTTCCGCGAAGAAATCTCAATGGGAGAGTCACGAAAGGGGGTCAAAATGATTGCACTATCGGTGATCTATTTAAATATCGTCAATTTCGATTTCACCCACTTTTACGCGCGCATATTCCACTCAAATACGTAAAGCACGACAGTTTGTCTGAGAAAAAGTATCACTCAAGAAGTGCTAATGTGCTGAATACAAATTGAATGTCCATCCGAAGCCAGAGGTTTAAAGATTGTCTTAAAGTGAAAGGGCGGCCAGTGAAGAGGAACTTCTTGGGAAGTTGTGAAATCTGATAATTCAGGAATTCTCGGGAAAAAGTCAGGTATAGAGGCTCTCGTCCATTTCTCACAAACAACGGAGGATTTGTCTCTGGGCCTTTGATGGGAGGTCTGAACTCTCCGAAGGTTAAAAGTTGGAAGAGTATTAAAAGACTATACACATTCTTTTATGTTCTCCATTCTCTGCCTGGGCTTTTTTTACACGCCGATTGTTCTTTCGAAGAATGAGCGAGTGGAAGGCTCAAGGTTGTCCATTTTTTCCTCAATGAGTACATCACACACCGAATTCCATTAATAGGCAACAAGTTGAATATTCAAATACGCAATTCTTTGAAAGTTCCCCGCTCGCAATGTCGCAAGTGACGCTAATGAGACAGTTCCATTTCGCGCCCCAAACCGTGTAAATCGACTCCATTATGGGCATGTGGAGTGGCATGAGGGGAAGTTATTGTATGCCATCTCATGTGAAATACCCTTCATTAGTACCCACGAAAGTTCCGTTTTTCACCGGAATTCGTCCCATTTTTCCGTATTTATAGATTTTGTCGTGTGTTGACAATACAATTCCACACTTTTCGGCGCTCTCGGCGAAAAGTCAAGCCAGAGAAAACACTCTTGACTTGTCATCGTTCAACCCCAAAATCACACGGTGAGTTGAATCACGTAATTTATTTCCTTTCGGCTGGAAATGTTTGCCATCGAGCGATTGCCTCCCCTAATTTTACACTGACTCCCCGGGAGCCAATAATAGATATTGAATGTGACGAGAAAATATATTTTAGCTCATCAGACACCGCTCTTAAAAGCGCCCCT